CTTTTTTGATCTTTTGGTTGCTAATACACTCTTGTTCCAGTGAGTTAAAAAATTCTGGCTCCAGCTACCTGTTGGGGAGTTCTGGGGGACTCTTCTTCTGCACGGCTTTGAGCTGGGTGCCTGACATCTGACTCCTACCCCAGCCATTTATTTCAGGAGCATTTGCACTTCACCCTTCCCTTCCCTTTTGCTTTAACCTTGCCTTCAAAACACTAGATCCATTTGCATGCAAGCCAAAAACGGCATCCAATTTTATATCCATTAGGAAATGCCTTGGGATGAAACATACAACTTGAGCTTCATCTTGCTGAGAAAGCTGATCTCAAGGCCCCTGGGGGATGGGGGTGCAGTGTATCAATGATTGTGGCTCTTGTATTTAGAAAACATAACAGTTTAAGGAAAGGACTTCCTCATACACATCTCTACTTAAATACAGAAATTAATACCTATAATAAAGGATTTTTATGCCTATCATTTCATCTCCTATGTAAACTGAGAAAAAGCAACAAGCATTTAATTGAAGTAAAGTCCAATATTTTAATATTTCTTGGCTGCTAAACCCAAGTCTAAATCTGCCTCTTTTTTTTGAACTGGCTATTGAATCAGAGATTTTGCACTAAGCTACATCCCCAGCCCTGTTTTTATTTATTTATTTTTTATTCTGAGACAGGGTTTCATTAAGCCATTATGTTGCCCATGCTAGCTTCTAACTTGTGATCCTCCTGCCTCAGCCTCCTAAGGTGCTGGGATTACAGGTGTACACTCTCACATCAGGCTAAACCTGTCTTTTTTATGCAAGATGTTTTCCTTGTCTTTGGCATCATTAAGTTAGAATCTAATATGCTTACTTTTTTGTTTGTGTCTTCCTCTGCTGTGTGTTCTCTGAGCTTCTTGGATCTGTGTCTTGCCTTTCATTACATTTGGACTGGCTTCAGTCAGTCCTTGTGACTTCAGGTGTTTTTTCTCCATTCTCTTTCTCTTCTTCTATTAGTATTTTAATATGGTACAGCTTTTGAAGTCATCATACAGATTTGAATGTTCTATTGTGCTTTTATCATCCTCCCTTATCTTTGCATTTCTGGTTAGAAAGTTTTCTTTCATTACTTTCTTTTTTTGTTTGTTTGTTTTTGGTTTTGGTTTTGGTTTTGGTTTTTCTCCAGTACCGGGAACCGAACTCACGACCTTGCACTTGCCAGGCAGGCGCTTTGCCGCTGAGCTAAATCCCCAGCCCCACTTTCATTACTTTCTAAGTAGGTGATTCTCTGTGGTGTGGAAGGCAGTGTCTTCACTTCTGGTGTGTTCTGATTTCTAATCTCACCTTTCACTTCTTCCCTACAGTCTCCATCTCCCTACCGACATCACTCATCTGTTCTTTCACATTGTCTGTTCGTGCCCTTATCTAATAATCGTGGTATTTTATGTTGCCCAAGCAATCCCAACGTGCCTTTCATATCTGAGTCTAGTCCCCATATGTGCTTTGTCTCTTCACACTGTTCTTTTTCTTGTCTTTTGGCATGTGTTGTTATTTTTATTGAAAGTCAGACTTGTTTTCAATAATAAGACCTGAAGTAGAGAGACCTTTGTATGAGAACTAATGGTCAGTTAGATAGGAGTCTGTCTTTAATGTAGGTGTCAACAGAGTTCAAATTCCTCTAATGTCCTCAATTTCTTTTCCTTGGTTCTCCTCAGAGAGCCCCTGGGATAGCTCTCAGCTGTACTCTGCTGCTTTGCAACACGCCCCTGCTGAGCGGATGGTAAAGTGCAGAGGAAGAGAAATCCTCCACAAGTGCATGCGGAAGTCTCAGTCCTTTAGTGGATCTCCATTTTGGGGCTGTGACTTCACAGTGTGTCTCACCAGTATCCTCCTACCTCCTGCTTTCCTGGCTGTGGCCTTCCAGGCTAGTGCCTTGAACTCATATTCCTCATCACGGGTAGATTTCTGACCCTTATTCAAGTAGAGAGTAAATTTAGAGAGGTCTTTCCTCCATTGAGATGTGATTCTGGAAGTCTTTTCTCATGGACCAAGGGTTTTATTTTTTATATTTAATAGGGATTTCTCCTCCCCTCCTCTGCCTCAGGCCATGAGGGATCGGTTAGTCCTTCATTTTGAGACCTGTGGGTCTCTAGAGGTAAAGCCAATGACAGAGCCCTATGTGGCCTGCAGGAGTGTCTTACACTGGCTGATAACCATGTGTCCCATTTGAGTGATGGGACACTTTATGGCTTCAGGCAAACAGATCTAGGTTGTGTCTCTCCCGATTCTGGGATAGCAGTTTATCTGGAAACCTCAGTTTTCTTATGGGCCCAAGAAATGCCAGTGATTTTTCAAGAAAATCCAGTCTTTTCTTGTTCAGATGGAATGATGATGTCCAAACTCTTTCCACGTCAGGTCTGAAAGAGAAGCCCCAAGTCATTCCACTTTTTTCCAGTGACCTCCACTACGTTCTAAGAAATAAAAGGCACAACTTGTAAATCACCTGCCACCTACTTGCCGCTAGTGGTTAAAACCGACTCATGTTATCAGCAGCAAGGAAGGAAATGCCAGTGCACTACTGTCTTCTCCTGCTGCTGTGGTCTGAGGAGAAAGGAGGCCATGGGAAAGTGGCAGGAGAGCTTGGGCATTGCCCCCTGAATTGGGCTACCCATTTCTGTAGTCCGGGACCCTGTGTGACCTAAGCAATCTAGGGCATTTCATGCTGAAGAATGACTCAGCGACTGGAGCAACCCCCGAACATTTCCCACTTCCTGGCCACAAAATCACGAGAACCATAAAATTACAGAACCACAGCATGTTGGAACTGGGAGATTCTTAGGATTTTCTTTTTAAAGAGATGTGGAAAGTGAACCCCAGGGAGGCCATTTCAAAGCCACAGAGTTAGCTCCTGACCAAGGGGGGTGCATCTCTACTTTTAGCAAAGCACCTTTTGCTTCTATGCTGATTTTTAAAAAAATTTCCATTCCTTTTACCAATCGGAGCTTAAGATTTCTTCCAACACACACACACACACACACACACACACACACACACACACTTGTTTTTCATTTTGTTTTGTTTTGTTTTCTTCCTTAGTATGTTAGATTCTTTAAAAGGGTGAAAATTGCTCCTTTATATTATTACTAAACTGTAGATTTTTACAAAGGAGAAAAGTATCTAAAAACAAGGAAAATGAAAAGAAAAATACAGCAGCAGTAAAAATGGGAAAAGTAAAGCAGGCAGCATTCACTTGCTTCTTTCTGCCTTGTCACAGAGGCATTGTGAGCACATCATAAAAGCGTGCATCTAATAAATCTGCCGTCACCCCTGTGGCCCTTGTGTTCTGTCTGAGACAGCATTAGGAAGAGAAGCCGGGGTGGCTTTGTACTCTTCTCGTTCGTAGGTTTACATGATGGGGAGGACTTCACTGAGACAGACAGCAGGAGCAGAGGGGCGCAGCAAGAATAATGAACCCAAGACTGCAACAGGAGAACGTCGATGCACGACTTTAGATTTTTCGCTGTGAGTCACCCGAGGATGCCTTTGAAAGTGATATTTTTGTTTTGTCTGTCTGAAATGTTATATGGCTTTCATCGTGTACTCAGTTATCTTGAAGTTTTAGCTGTCAGAGGAGGAAGGGATCTTACAATCAATCTAGTTTAGCGTTCCTCATGCTGTGCTGGAGTCCTCGGAGTTTTCAGGGAACAGCTGGCCTCTGCTGAACCTCTTAGACCCATGGAGCCCCCAGAATCATTAAGCCCAAATCAGCCTATTTTATTATGGTCCTGAACTTCAGTTCCTAGAAATTTCTTTCCCTGACTGAATTGAATGTTACCCATTTAAATCCATGAATGGCTCTTAATTATTATGCACAATTAATATACTTGAAAATGGAGTGGCTAACCAAAGTATTAATTTTTGTACTAGTTGGAGGTAGTTTTCCTGTGAAGAAATCATGAATAAAATTTGACAGTCTATTAATTTATTTTCATGACCCTGAAAAAAATGAACTAAAATGCCTAGCCTTGGTGATTTAAGGAGTTTAGTAAATTGATCTATAAATAAAGCTGAGGTGAAAAAAGTTTGGAGTGAAGTGCATAGAAATGTCTTGATTTCTAGCCAAGGAATGAAAGAATACAGGTCCCTGTGGAAACTTGGGGCTGGAATCTGCCTCAGTTTGTGGAGGTTAAGGATCATTTTCTCATTTAGTGTAGTCAATGAATACTAATTGGGAAAAATGGTGAATTACATTAAAGGGAGAATTTCCAATTCTGACTAGGAAGATACACAGTTGTGAGTATAGTGGTCCCTGTTCCCAGCCAAGGGGTGGACTTTCCAAGAGTCCAAGTGGATTCCTAAAGCCATAGATAGTGCCACATCATACAATATTATGTTTCTTCCCCAATTGTGTTAGTCATCTTTCCATCTCAGGAACAAAATATCCAAGAATAACAATTTGAAGAGAAAAAGATTTACTTAACCTCATGGTTTCAAAAGTTTCTGTCCATGGTCACTTGGCTTCATTGTTTCTGGGCCTTTGATGAGACAGAATCAAAGTTGTTTACATTATGGGATGGGGGGGAAGAGGTTGGAGACAAGATATGGTGCCCAAGTTCATGTCCTTATGACCTGCTCCATTCATCTAAGGCCAACTTCTAAAGTTTCCATCACCTCTCAATCATGCCAGCAGATTATCAATCCTTCAGTGGATTATGAAATTTTAAATCCAAATTTTGAATGGATTAATGCACTGCTGAAGCTAGATCCTCATGACTCAGTCACCTCCCAAAAGCTCATCAGTTGGTAAGCTCCAATTGGTAAAAGGAATGGAAATTTTAAAAAAATCAAGCCCCCAGTACATGGTTTTGGGGTACATTTTAGACTCAAACCATAATTTCCATACTCGTAATGCAATTTAATTTATAAATTAGGTACAATAAGTGGGTGACAGCAATAACTAACAAAATAGAACAACTATAACTGTATATGGTAATAAAAGTTATGTAAATGAGGTTTCTTTCTCAGAATATTTTATTATATTAACATGACCATTCTTCTTGTGAGAATGTGAAACGATATTTGAAGGAGACACTTTAGAGATTCTTACTGGCAGATCGGAATTGCCGTCATCATGGCTCACGTGTCTTGGGACTACTCTGAAATAAAATAAGCATTGAAATATAATACTTGAAAATAAGCATTGTGATATCATGAAACTGATCTGAAAACTAGGGAAATTACTAAGAAGCAGTGGGCAGGTAGCCTATACAGAATGGATACATTGAACGCAGGAAGCAATCACATGCTGAGCTGGAAGGGCCAGGAGAACACAAAATGCTATCATGCTACTCAGAATGAGATGCAGTTTAAAACTTATGGATTGCTTATTTCTGGAATTTCTCAATTAAAATGGATTTCAGTTGAGAGAGGGTAACTGTAACCATAGGAGGCAAAACTGTCCATAAGGGGATACCCTGGTATATGTAGAACATTGCACTAAACATGAGAGAAAATGTTTCCCTAAATGGTGGCAGGAGAGATAGAGTTTTGTTATCTGAATGTTCTCTCTTTTCAGAATCACTGGAGTTTGAAGTAGAAAAAGACGGGGAAAGTAAAAGGTGTGAGTCATTGGTGTTGATAAGGACTTGGGGTAGGCGTTTGCTCTAACCTCATCTGACTTCTGCCCCTCACGAGGTAGCAAGCCAGTAACAGGAGGAGGCAGATGGGAAGGACACTTGGGAAAGGGGTTCAGGAGGAAATGGTGCAGGGAAGCAGAGCAGAGGCTCCTAATCTCCTCCAGTTGGGGACATGAAGTAGGGCAGCAGCAGAGACAGCAAGAGAGGTCCAGGCTCAAGCAGCAGGGATTGCAGAAAGAAGAACCTCTGTGCGTATTCAGAGCGCAGTCTCCAAGCTCTGTGTACACACAAAATGCAAGTACACATCAGTGCCCAAGAGATCACATGCCCATCTGCACGAAGAAGAAGAGAGGAAGGCTGGTCTACAAGGTGACAGCATCAGTTCAAGAAATTCAGGCTTGGGGCTGGGGATTTAGCTCAGCGGCAAAAGCGCCTGCCTGGCAAGTGCAAGGTCGTGAGTTCGGTTCCCGGTACCGGAGAAAAACCAAAAAAACCAAAAAAAAAAAAAAAAAAAAAAAAAAAAAAAAAAAGAAATTCAGGCTTGGCAAAGGAATCTTGCTCTGAATCTTTCACTTCAGTTATTTTTAAAACTAGAATGTTGAGTCTCTTTAGTTAACTAGATAAGTGTGGTATGAGTGATAATTTTCTAAGGATGATTCAAATTTAAGATCTTATTTGTCATAAGGTATTCCTAAAAAGTCATAGTTGAGAAAAATAATGATTATGTGACTAAAGACAGTAATTACTTTCTGAGAGGAAACATGTTCCATTCACCTGGAAAGTCTATCTCCATAGAAACCTCTTCATAGAATCCTGCTTTACTCTCTTAAGCTCATCTTTGATTGAACAAAGCAAACACAGTCTTTCTTTATCAATTCATTTGCTTTAATAAATAAACATTTAGAAATATTGGAAGACTACTATACCAAAACCTATCTGAATTCCATTCAGCTATGTCTTGGTTACTTTTCTCTCGTTGCTGGGACAAAATACCTGATGCCCAAAATTAAGGAAGGAAAAGTTTATTTTGCTTACAGTTTGTGGAGGTTTTAGTCCATATGTGGCAGGTTACAAGGCAGAGTGGCACATGGCAGAGGGCTACAGCTCATGGCGGCAGAACCCAGCAAAGCAACAAGCACACACCAGAGTGGAATGGCCTCAAGCAGCCTCTTCCTCTCCCTTACATATGCAAACTATCTACCCCAGGGCGGGTGTAGTTCTCACACCCACAATCAATCAAACTCTAAAAGCCTGCCCCATGACTGCATGAGGCTTTGGGGGGACACACACCACACAAACCATAACAAGTTGCTTTTATTTTTTTTCTTGTATAAATTTAAGGTGTACAGCATGATGTTTTGATATACGTTGTAAAGTAATTGCTACAGACAAGGAATTTGACTTATCCATCATCTTGTAAAGATGTAGGTTTTTTTTGGGAAAAAGTACCAAAAATCTACTCTCTGGGAAGATGTCCAGTGCACAGTGCTGGGTTATGGACTGTAGTCCTCAGCATTACCTTAGCCCTCTGGGTGTTTGCACGCGACCTGTGACTTTGTACCTTTGACCTCTCTCCGTTCCCTTTCCTCCACTAGCCCCTTCCTGCCCCTCTGGTAACCACTACTCTCTCCTCTGTTTCTGAGTATTTGACTTTTGTTTTGGATTTTGTGCATAAGAAAGATCAAGTAACATTTTTCTTTTGGTGCCGGCTTATTTCACTCAGCATAATGTCCTCCAAGTTCATCCATATTGGTGCAAATACCAAGATCTCCCTTTAAAAAAAAAGCCTAAAGGAATTTCAAGTTAATATTCTGTTTTTCAAATCTGAACAGCATTCTGCTCCACCTTGTTCTTTTCCATTCATGCCTCCCGGATATTTATGCTGCTTCCCTATGTTGGCTACTGTGAATAACGCTGCAATGGCCCTAGGCGTCCAGGTGTCTCAGCAAGGTGCTGATTTCATTTCCTGTGGGAACATACCCAGCAGAGACACTCATGAACCATATGTTCATTCTATTTTAATTTTTTTGAGGAACCTCCATACTGTTTTCCATAAAGGCTGCACCAATTTACATTTCCACCTGTAATGTGTGAGGGCTCTCTCCCTCCACAGACTTGCCAACGTTCGTGTCACCTGTGCTTTTGGTAATACCCTTCCTAACAAGGGTGAGGTGGTATCCTATTGTGATTTTGATCGGCAGTTCTCCAATAATCAGTGATGTTAAGTACTTTTGCATAAACCTATTGAAAATTCATAGGTCTTCATTTTTTCAAAAAAGCCCATTCAGGTCATTTTCCCCCATGCTTATTCAGGCTATTCTTTCATATTTTTGCACTTGTGTTGTATTTCATTTTATATTTTGAACCTTGCCAGATATATGTTTCAGATAGATGAGTCACACATTTTCTCTCAAGTGCCAGCCTACCTTTTCATCTTGTTGATTTTTTTTCACTTTCCCTTCTCCGTGCTTTAGCTTTTTTAGTTTAATGCGGTCCCACCTGTTTATTTTTGCCTTTGTTGCCTCTGCCAGTCATCTAATTTTAAAATGAGATTCCTCCATTTTAGAGTTTTCAAAAGCAACTCACCTCCTTCATAGGCAGATAAAAAAGAAAGCTCTGGGTGCTTTACTTGGAAAGAACATTTCTTGATTTCCAATATATTTAAGGAAAGGCGTTCTATGCATATTTTATCTTGTTGCATATACATACAGCTATTACTTGGTATCTTTGCAATCTTCACAGCTGAAGTTACAATCTGATGATCATTTGATGCACCACATAAAACTCAGTGAGAGTTGTCTCAGTGAGTTATTTAACTCACGAAAATATTCATAGGCTTTGTACTCACAAAAATATCAGTAGGCTTTGTACTTATTTCCTTAGTCGATCTTCAGTGGTAGTACAAAGCTTATACCATCAGTTTTGAGGTCTTTTAGATGGGTAGGATAAGAGCCTGGGAAGGAATCCCTCTTTTTTTATCCCAGATCTGAGCTTGCCTTGAGAACTTAATTTTTTAAAAAATCTGTGAAAAGTGAATTTCCAATTTATAACTTATTTGTGGGCCAAATCCCTCGAGGTATATTGGTCTGTCCTGGTCCAGTGCTGCCACAGCAGTTACTTCACTTTGCCACTAACACAAACCAGAAAAAAATACTCTGATTTGTTCTTCTCCACCGCAAAACAGAGGGTAACACTTTCTGACTTCAGAGCAAGGCTGCCTATTTCTTCATCTACAAGAAAAGCAGGAGAAAGAATAATGTAAATGGTGTCATGGGAAAACACACCAAACCAGCAAAACTGGACTCAGAACCCAGGCTGCAGACAGAGATGAGGGAGCACTGAAAAAAGAAAAGACTGCAGTGGGTTTGGAGGAGGAAATGTCCCCTCTACCCAGAAGAACAGGGGCCTGTCCTGAGCAGCCAGGTACTGAGGCCCAGCACTGCGGAACTGAAGGGAAAAGACTCAGTGTTCTGCAGGACCAGAGGGCTGAGTCCTCCTGGGAAGAGCAGACACCTTGGAGAGCTGACCCTGAAGGGGCCAAGGGGAGGGAGTAACAGCCAATGTTAGAGAGAGCACCCTGCCACAAGGCATGTGGACCCCCCTACATCAGAAGATAGTGAAAACATCTACAGTGTGATCAGGAATTAGACTGGATATTTAAGTGTTCAAAACTGTGAAAGACGCATCGCCACTGGTCCTCCCTCCACTTTAAACACCCTCAGCCCAGCGTCCTTGCCACTTTTCCTAACAGTTCTAGAAGCCCCTCTCCTGACTCATGGCTGCATTGATATCCTCGATATCAACTAGACTTGTTTGCCTCTCACAGTCATTCTGACTTTGGGAAGAGCCAGAAGTCACTCAGTGCCAGATCTGATGAATAAGGACACACTGTAATATTTTCACAAGGCTGCCTTTCCACTGGATGGCACTGGAAGTAGCATTCATCACACTTTTTAGTCACACCTTGTGGAGACACCCACAAAAGAACACTTTCAGAACTGCTTCAGAAAGTGGCAAGAGCCGTGGGATAAGTGTGTTCAAAGTATGTTGGGGAGAGTAGTTTGAGGGGGATTCATGACATGGATCTTTTAGTGCCATAAATTGTTTGTGAATCTGACTTACAAGGTAGGCTCACAGTGGCCGCCTGCAGACTCAGGTGTGGAAGAGTGCAGAAGGGCTGTCTGTGTGCTGGAGCGCTGAAGGATCCAGAGAGAGATGGAAGATTTGGAGCTCACTGCAGGGTGCCCAAGGTGATGGCAAAAACGAAAGCTCCTCTGAGGAAACTGAAGCAAGACTTCCTTCGTCTTTCCCTTTTTCTTCCATTCAGGCTACCAGCCTCTTGGTGCCGCTTACACCCAGGGTCTTCTGTTTTCAGTAAGTTCATTCAGCCACACCCAGAATTACAGTAATGCAATCAGTTGGGGTTTTCCTACTCAAGTTGACGCAATAGCTGTCGCAGTCAGTGTTATGAGAAATTGACAAAAACGAATAAGCAAGGCCTTCCAACACTCCTGAAAGAT